GCAGAAGGTCCCAGGCTCAATCCCCGCCACCTCCAGTTAGGGCTGGGAATGCCCCCTGCGTCAAATCCTGGAGAGATGCTGCTGCCGGCCTGAGTTGACAACGCTGAGCTAAATGGACCAATGGGACTGAATCGGTAGAAGGCAGATTCCTATCTTCCAAAGAAGACACACCTTTGCGATGGTGAAAGGTGTGGCGAAACTGGGCTCATAATCTTAAAACTTCATGGTCATCCAGCTGTGGTTGGCGGAAGATCTGAACTGAAACTCCCGTTATCCCTAACCATTGGTGATGCTGGCTGGGGCTGATGGGAGCTGGAGACCAGCGCCATCTGGGAGAGCACAGGGTTCCTCATGCCTGCTTTAAATCCTGGGCTTACCAGGGGTGAGCTCTTTAGATGGCCAACTGATGTGTATTGTCTCACTCCCTTCAGGTTGCGGTAAGCCCTGTTCATTCTGCTGATATACCGCTGTCCCTGTTAATAGATACCCAGAAGAGAAGCGTCCAGCCCCACGGTTTGCCTCATAGATGCGCGCGCGCAATCACGCACACCGACCTCACCACTACCACTAGCCCCACCGTCTGCACGCACGGAGGGAGAGCCATCTCCCTTTGCAAGCTCCAAGTGAGGGCAGGAAGAGAGAAAGCTGATCCCCCAAGTTTCCATCCTGCGCCATTGAAGCGCCGGAGCCTCAAATGAAAGATTTCCTGCCAAGCTCCGTCATTCCTGGGGATGCTGATGCTGATGGTGGCAGAAGGCCTGGGAAAACCGATCTCCCTGGCCTGCTCCCACCCACGGCGCGCCTGGCCGCACACTGGCCTGGAGGCCGGCACGAGGGGCGGGGAGGAGGGGTCATCGCCGCAGCCACGAGGGTGCTGGGAGAAGGGAATGGTTGGTCGCTGTGGCTGCGTCCACTCTCGACAAGTTCTTTTGTTCTGCACGAGTCTGCCCCTAGAGGCTGGGAGAATGTGGGATTGGAACAGCCAACCATCTGGGTAAAATCATAGAATTGGAATTGGAAGAGACCCCAAGGGTCATCCAGTCGAACCCCCTGAAATGCATTGCAATGCAGAAATCACAACTAGAATTTTTTGTCGCATTATTTTATTTAGCTCTTAAGTATTTAGGAGCCCACTCTTCAATGAATGTTTTCAAAGCCAGAGCAGGCAACAATGAAAGAATATACACATGATGGAGGGGTGGGGGATAACAATATACAAAAATTACAAGCTCTGTAAAAAGAAGTCCAATCAATAACAAAGAAATCCACAAATTATTTGCTCCATCAGTGTGGTTTACATGGTGTAGTGGTTAAGAGTGTTGGGCTGTGATCTGGGAGACCAGAGTTCAAATTCTCACTCAGCCATGATATTCAGTGAGTGACCTTCGACCGGTCACTGCTTGTTCCTGCTGTCCCACCCCCACCCCTTTGCCATTGTTGCCTCCCCATGTTTATTTTATATTGTAAGCACTTTAGGGCAGGCACTTGTCTTCTTATATTTTGTAAAACAGTATGTGTGCTGTTAAGCCGTGTGTCCAACAACTCAAAGCCTTCTTCCTCAGCAATCTCTGTGTTGCTGAGGGAAAAATAAGCCCTTTTTATCGTCACAACAACCCTGTAAAGTAGATTAGACAAAGAGATTGGCCCAGTGGAGCTGAGATAGGAAGCCAGGTTCACACCAACCAAAGTCCAATACACTCATGTCTGGGTTTTTTCTTGCCAGTTCTTAACCTAAAAGGAAGAGAGGTCTTTCTGCACCCCAAAAACAGCTTTAAGACACCCCTCACTGTGTCTTTCTTAATTGCCTTTTGCAAGACTCAGTTAAACATTTACAAACAGTTTGAAATCAAACCTCACAAGCTAAAAGGAAACTTTTGCATTTCAAAAATGTACCTTTGGGGGAATCTATAAAATAAAAAGCTTGCTTTAAAATATATGTTTCAATTCTTCTTTGCTGAGCTCTTGTCTCATTCCAGTCTGTTGTCTATGGTTTTGGTGACTTTTTTAAAAAAGCAGGTCTGATTTCATTGACACTCTAAGCATTTAAGTTGCTTGTATGGGTATTATAGGTTTATAGCCCTACAGGATGGCTTTGTTTGTGTAAATTCTTATGCACTCAATTTATTAGCCTTTATGGAGACATAGCTAAACTCTAGGATTATCAATAATCCAATTATACTAAACAGTACAAGTTATAAAAAGAGGGCAAGGAAAATAGTTCTGGGGCTGGGATATTGAGTTACGTCAGGGAATTCCAAAACCTGTCTGGGTGTCAAGGTTGATAAAACGGAGCTTGAATTATGATTCAACAGGTTTTCATGGGCTTCCAACTTCACCTTACAGTCTGTTTGGAAGACTTCCCTGGGAAGACAGATTGACTCTTAAACCACGCTGGAAATTGTAGCTCTTTGAGGGAAATAAGAGTCTCCAGGTAACTCCTGGCATCCTCAACAAACTACAGTTCCCAGGATTCTTTGGGGAAAGCCATGACTGTCCAAAGCAGTATGATCCTGCTTTGAATGTATTGTGCGGATGGGGCTGTAGTCTGCTTTTATTGCATTTTGCCAATGGCCTTTGCAACTTTACAAGAAACAAAACATAGGCTAGTTATGACTATTATTCCCAATGGGTCTACTGTGAGTAGCATTAACAGTTAATACAACACAGAGCTACGTATACTTTGTAACATAGCTCTGTAGCGAAAGAAAGAAAGAAAGAAAGAAAGAAAGAAAGAAAGAAAGAACGAACGAACCCTTTAGGGAGGTACAGTTCGAAAAAGATCCCACTTCCAACTCAACAGTTGTATGATTCTGTCTATGAGTACCTTACAACATCTGGTGACCATCATCCAATTTTTATCATATTGTAACATACCATAAAGAGGTTTTGATATATGACTATCTGGGATAGCCTCCTGTTTCTGTGGACAGTTCAGCACGGCTTAATGTGCATGGGCCATAACTGAAGGAAGCCTGGCCCTTCTGTGATCATTTGCAGGCAGGGGCATTGTGAATGTCTGCACGCAGGGACTGGAGAAGGCTGCTCAGTGACAAATGGTTTCTGCAGTCAGCTTCAAAAGTGCTCGGTGCCCCAGTGCCAAACTGCCAACTGCTCCCTTGTCAAAAATGCATCTGCACTTATATGGTCACGAAGCGCCCCAGATTCCTTACGCGTGCCTGACTTCTGTGCATAGAGGCGTGCCAGCTGAGACACACCAGCCCTCAGCAGCTTATGAAGGGGAAAGGCATATTGGTAAGAGTTGTTTAAACTACACATGTCTTCAGTCAAATACACGCCCTGACACGTTACCACCACCAGGTTGCAGAAAACCACAAGCCCATCATAAATATACCAGCAAAGAGAGAAGGGTCTATTCAGTCTGGTTCCTTCTTACATACCCACAACTCCGATGAAGATGAAATGAACACCCTGAAGTACAAAGGAATGTGCAAAAAGTTGCCAGCAAGAACCTGATCGTTATTGAGCATGGGGGGGGGGTCAGAGGGGAGGGAATGAGGAGGAGGTCTCTGGTTTTCCAGGAACAGCAAGATAAATTTCATAAGAACACAGAACGGGGTAAGCTTCATTCTTGTGTATTTTGCCCATCCATGCATAGAAATCTCTCACGTGGAAGGAAATTGCAGCACCTCATCTCCCAAGCCAAAGAAATTCCATTTGGGAATGAATCTAATGAGGTGGGGGTGGAATTAGCTCTTCTTAGTCAGTGAGAATGTAGAAATTTCAAAAAGACCCCTTTGCCTGTAAAAAGGAAAAGAAAACCCCAAATTAAGCAACAATTGGACACACCATGAAATGATTATTTCCTCTCATCACAAGCACTTTAAAAACTCCTGGGTCAGCTTTGACTTAGTCACGGCTTTTTCCTCTGTTTGCCAGCATCAGAAACCTGCAGCCAGTTAAACAGCACTCAATGCCCAGGAACTGTGCTGAATGATCACTTGCACCCCACTGAGTATCCACTTGTACTGGGAGACCGTCTACAGGCTTTTGTTTTCTGGGGCTTTATGTCCTGGTTGGACAAAATCGGTGAATTTCCATTTATCTCAGTTTCTCATTTTTTTCAGTCAGCTTGCCCCATGTCTGCATCAATTTGTAGAGCAATACCAGTATATGCATTTTGGAATAATATATGCATTTCTGCAAGTGATTTCCCCTACTACAGTGGCTCCCAAACATGCCCCGCCTCCCCCCAGTTGCAATGCACTGTGCTCGATGCTGTGCATGAGCACACCAAGCACAGAAAGAACACAGGAAGCTGCCTTATACACAGCCAAACCACTAGTTCATCTAAAAAAAGGTAAAGGTAAAGGACCCCTGGAAGGTTAAGTCCAGCCAAAGGCGACTATGGGGTTGCGGCACTCATCTCGATTTCAGGCCAAGGGAGACGGTGTTTGTCCACAGACGGCTTTCCGTGTCATGTGGACAGCATGACTAAACCACTTCTGGTGCAACACTGTGACGGAAACCAGAGCACACGGAAACATTGTTTAGCTTCCCACCACAGCGGTACCTATTTATCTACTTGCACTGGTGTGCTTTTGAACTGCTAAGTAGGCAGGAGCTGGGAAAGAGCAACAGGAGCTTACCCCATTGTGGGATTCGAACTGCCAACCTTCTGATCGGCAAGCCCAAGAGGCTCAGTGGTTTAAACCACAGCGCCACCTGCATCCATCTAGTCCATCTAGCTCACTGCTGCCTACACCAACTGGCAGTGGCTCTCCAGCATTCCAGGCAGCATTCTTTCTTAGCCCTGGCCTTGAGACATTGGGAATTGAACCCTGGACCTTCTGCCACTGAGCCACAGCCCATCCTTTAAAAAAAAAAGTAACATTCCAGTCCTCATGGTTCTAAGTACATGGTTGGCTTAAATGGGAATGTAGGAAGCTCCCTTATACTGAGTCAGACTACTGATCCAACTAGTTCTTTGTTGCCCACTCTGGCAGCCATTTCTGAAGGTTTCAGACTTTCCCAACCATAACTGAAGATGCCAGGGATTGAACCTAGGACCCTCTACATGCAAAACAGGAGTTCTACCACTGAGCTATGTCTCTCCTTTCAATACTATTTAGCCCCTGCTTTCTGGACCAGCTGAAGTTTCCAGACACTCATCTCTCTGCCTAGGTACCAAAGCTAGGAATTATACTCTGTGCAGGCCCAGACAGAGGGGGCCATATGGGCCACTTGGCCCGGGCCTCCGATTCCAAAGGGGGCCTCGGTCAGCATATTCACAAATTATTTATATACTTACTTATTTATAAGACTTCAGTTATCCCCAGGGTAAAAAAAGGGGGAGGGCATATTATCTACCTGGCCCGGGACTCTGCCTGGCTCTGCAAGGCCCTGACTCTGTGGCAAAAACAATACAGACCATAAAAGAGCTGACTGATTTTCTCATGAGTTGCAGGATCAAGAAATGAGTAAGGCACATTTTTTAAATTCTGTCTAGTACCGTGGAAACCTCAGATCATTTCATGTCAAGCTCTAAGTTGCTGTTTTGTGACCATCCTTTGAAATTTTGCCTCTGCCCCACCAGCCCTTGATTCATTAGAACCGCATTTGATATAAAGTCCACTAGGGAAAAAATAATAAAGGGGAAATCAAAATTTTTGACAAGAGGCATTTATCGGGCAGGCAAAACAGCACACGCATGCACGCATGTGCGCGCGCACGCACGCACACACAATATCCAACTTTTGTTGAAACAGATTGAGGACTAGATCCATCAACACAGAGAAATGCTTTCAATTTGCAGCCTTTAAGCATGGAAGGATATTTGTGGTGACGGAGCAATCTGCCACCCACCGCTCTCGCCATGGTGTAAGATTTCTGCGGTTGTTCACTGACGGAGACAAGCAGCCAAATTAAAAGATTCCCTGCTGGAAGGACTGAGATTCCCAAATGATGCCTCATTTTGAGTGGAAAATTTATTGGAGTTTCCCTTTTGACCAGCTGCCTGAAACAGGGTTTTAATTTAGCAGCTCCCAGCAATTTTTCCACCAACCTTTCTCATTTTCAAAGAATAGCAGGGGCTTGTTGAGGGTTAGTGTCTCCCCCCTCCCCCACTTCCATGCTTGCTCCTGGCAGCTTTATGCACCTCAGGGCATATAATTCACCAAGAAATTCTCCTGTACCACCCCACCCCCCACCCCTGAAATGCATAGGACTTGGCATGTCTCCCATACATTCCAACAGGGCTCAGGAGACATTATGGATGAAATGTGCCCAACGGCAACCCATGGTAGGCTTTAGCTTATTAATCTCTTGGGTCCCAACAATTACAGCTTTGGCTGCCAATCAAAGATCCCTGTCCACATGTTCAGTGAGTGATGATCTGGGTTTCTAAGCACCTTCTGCGGGCAGGGAAACATTTGGCAGCCCTTCTTTGACAGCAGAATACTGAAACACTGATACACATTTCTGGCCAACCACATGCCCCACCGTCCTATATCTAGGCCTCTAGTGAGGAAGCTCTGTATGGAGCATGAGCACTCTGTTCACTTCCAAGTCAACTTCTATGGCTTTCTAGACTTCCCCCATTTTTATTTGGTAGTACTGCTAAGGCTTACAGCTGTGTGAATTGCCATTTTAGGATCAATTATGTGCATTATTAGCATTATTAAGTAAAAATGTAAAAGTGATCCATGTTGTAGGTTGTGAGTCAAAGGTGGGTCTTGACCAGCTGAAGACCACTGTTGTACACAGCTCCTTGGAGTAAAGGTGGGGTATATGTGTAATAACTAACTAACTGTAACAAGTCTGTCCACTTCTTTGTGATCAGTTGGAGGCTGACTGAAAAAGGGAAGGCACTGTGAAAAACTGAATTTGCAAGACTTCAGAAATCGCCCATCTTTGCTTTTAGAAGAAACGTCTGTGAATCGGAACACCTATTTCATGCAAACCATGTAACTCTGCAGATTCCTCGTGCCCAGCTGGGCATGAACATTTTGAAATAATACATCCTTTTGCCCCATGCCCATCAGTTGGTGGGGGTTCCGCTACTTTGAGGTCTGTTGAGCTACATCAAGTAGCTGTCTCGAGATGAAGGAATCTTTTGTGTTGTTCCATTCTGGACATCTATCCAAATCTTTGTCTTTATCAGTCAGTTCCCAGCGTTCCACCTTAGCCATGCTCTGAACTCCCATGACTAGTTGTGCAGAGAAATTTTTACTTCTGACACCGTGCTGTACAGAACATCATCAGACAGTTCAACCAAAACCCGGCATTTTCTGCCATTGCCCCTGTACTGCAAAATACCCATCCTTCTGCCATGCATGAAACATTATCTGTTAGTTTCTTCAGATGTCTTAGGAACACATATCTCTTTCTGAGGCTTTCTCTGACTTTTAAGATTGGACCCCATTATCTCCAAATTCCTGTTTTTGCCTGCTCCCGTTATTTTTTAGTTTTTATAGATAGATAGATAGATAGATAGATAGATAGATAGATAGATGATAGATAGATATGAAAGATTAGAAATGCTTTTAAATAAACAAATAAACCTCAATCAGGAACTTATTAATTGGAATGAAGAAGGGCAATTGTTCAACAGGGTGAACTTACTGGTGACGGATGGGAGTCCCGGCTGCTGGAAATATTTCTGTACCTGACAGATTCCAGAGTGGTGGCAGGAAACATTTGGAAACAAGAACAAGTATCATGGGTCCCCAACTATACCCTGGATACCTATGTAAGGAAGCAAGAAAAGTAAAAAATAGTGCCTCACCTGTCATTTCCCCTTCCCATGGTCTTTCCACTACCCCCAGGTAAAGGTAAAGGGACCCCTGACCATTAGGTCCAGTCGTGGCCGACTCTGGGGTTGTGGTGCTCATCTGGCTTTATTGGCCGAGGGAGCCAGCATACAGCTTCCGGGTCATGTGGCCAACATGACTAAGCCGCTTCTGGCGAACCAGAGCAGCACACGGAAACGCCGTTTACCTTCCCGCCGGAGCGGTACCTATTTATCTACTTGCACTTTGACATGCTTTTGAACTGCTAGGTTGGCAGAAGCTGGGACCGAGCAACGGGAGCTTACCCCATCGTGGGGATTCGAACCGCCGACCTTCTGATCGGCAAGCCCAAGGCTCTGTGGTTTAACCCACAGCGCCACCTGCGTCCCTAGGTAGTGGTCTTTATTTTTCCAGGTCTGCCTCCACCCAACAGCCTCATCTCCCCGGCTCCTGGCTCTCCTGCCTCCCACCCAGGCCATGACCATAGAAGCTCCTTCTTGAGAGTAAGGGAGTTATCTTTATTGAAGCAGAGAAGACGAACCAGCTCAGCAACAGGTAATGAGTCCCAGAAGCCACTACACTCAGGCTCAATGGCATGAAAGGTGAGGCTAGCCAGGCTGGAAGCTGTGGTTCAATTTTGATGAAGGCAAGGAGTTTGGAATTGCACAGCAGTAACTGAGGTGTCCCAATGGGTTGACACACCCACCTGCCAAGCTTTTAAAGATGAAACAAGGACTCACAAGACTGTTGAGCCTGCAGACATTCACTCCATCGGGAAAGATGTGTCTATTGCCTATAATGGGAGTGCAGCCAGGTCCTGGTCAACCAGGCTATGCCTATCTCTTCTGACTCCAGTTCCTCCACCCATAGTGGTGGACTGATGCCCACCCTGGAGTCTTGCTGGGCTCCTCTCATCAGGAAGGAAGAGAGGAGATGCGACTCCGGCTTCCCCAGCCAGAGCAGCCACATCATGAGAGGGGGAAGAACTCACTTCTTCCAGCCTCTGTTCCCCAGCCTCAGTCCACCCCTCTACTGCAAATCACCCTCCTGTTCCTCCTCCTCATCCATTTCAATGTGCCACCTGACTCATGACAACACTTGTAGATAGTGTGGGTAAAACCACAGGCAAAAGAGACCGCAAGGCTTTGTGAATCAAGTTCAAAAGTTTACTAAAGAAGAAGATTGTTCTTAGGGGAAAGGTTACAAAACATTCCCCAAATAGCAAAGAGGGGGTAATGGAAATAAATCAGGATAAATGCATCCAGTTAGTCTTATCCAAACTGTTTCCTAGTGGCTAAAATTCTGTTAAGCAAATTTCTTTCAATTAGAGCTCTTAGGATGGTACGGCAGTTAGAAGCTCTCTCTCCCTCTAGCCTCCAGCGCCTGCTTGTGCTCTTCAGTTCCTTCTGAGACCCTCCCATCACTTGTCTCTGTAAGTTGCCCCTTATCTATATCTTTGAGCCACTGTTCTTTGCTATGTCACAATCCACAAACAACCCAAGCATCAAAGTAATACACTTTTACCTTAATCCCCTCTGCAAACCCAACTTGTCCATATTCCACACTTCACTTCATTATTTTTTAACACCTCCTGACTTTACCTGCCAGCTAGGTTGTCTCTCAGAAGCAGATTAACCCTATAATCCCCAAACCAAACTATATACAGTACAAGATTTTGATTTCTTTTTAAACAGTCCAATTCCTTCACACGCAGGAATTTCCAAGCTCCAAAACACAGGGAGAGATTTGGAAGTAGAGAATTTTGGAAGCCTCTGCTACTTCTCCCACATTACATCCACAGAGGATATACACAAATGAAGGTGCATGAGACAGGTAGGCTGGCCATGAGTCCTGCTTGACAGAGGACAGTCCTTTATATGAAGGAGCCCTCTATTTGGAGGGGTGTCTGGCCCAAGTCCAGTTGAAAGACAAAGCACCATAAGAAGGGAGAGCCTTGAAGTAGCACAGGGGCATCAAGCTAAGCCGAACATCAAGCACCTGGTCACAATCTTTACCACAATGATGAGATGTATTCTATTTCTGTTTGAATCGTAGTAATGGCCATCTAGGCCTATAAATTAACATATGCAAATTCCAGGCAAATTGGCCTCCCCTTTTGTCTTCTTCTGGGGGAAGACTTTCCTTCTTTTCATCAGTGATGTGTGTGGTCACCCTAGAGAGAGGCAGAAAGGCACTTTTAATCTCATGTGTGGAAAGGACCAAAGTCTTTCCGGAAGACTATTTTTAAGAGCATACTCTTTCAGTACTATATTCTCAACATTTATTCAGTCACTTCTGCTCTTTGGGAGGGATTTACAGGAAGCAAGCAAACAAACCCAGATCCAAAACTGAAGGCCCTGGCAAAAGCTACATTTAACACCCAGCACTCCTCCTTCTGTCTTGCAAGAGCTTCCCCTCCTTTCCCAAATGCGTGGAACAAGCGACTCTCATCAGATAAACAAGACAGAGGCAAACACTTTTCGGTCCATCTTCATCCTGATTTACGTTATAGTGTAAAACTGCATCACTGGAAGCGGATATGAGTTAGTTTACCGCAATGTTTTCAGTAATGGTATTAAGAATGTAATTTCTCAGGAAAGCAATGACTGTCTTTCACTCAGATGTACAATTAGAGGAATTAGTAATTTGAGAAACATCATCCTCAAGAAGTCTGACACAGAAATTGAAAATTGCACGCAATCCCTAGAATAGGGGTCAGCAAACTTTTTCAGCAGGGGGCCGGTCCACTGTCCCTCAGACCTTGGGGGGGCAGACTATATTTTGAAGGGGGGAAATGAATGAATTCCTGTGCCCCACAAATAACCCAGAGATGCATTTTAAATAAAAGGACACATTCAACTCATGTAAAAACACGCTGATTCCTGGACTATCCACAGGCCTGACTTAGAAGGCGATTGGGCTGGATCCAGCCCCTGGGCCTTAGTTTGCCTACCCATGCCCTAGAATAAGGCTCAGGGGGCAATGGAGACAGCCCTTCCTAGTTACTATTAGTGGGTTGAATCCAGTGTAACTCTAAGTAAAGTGACTTAGGGGCATGCCTGTTCCACTGGTGTAATGTTTTGCACTAGGGGGACATTTGTTGCACAGGAGAATGCAACGAGTAGGGATGGGGGAGGATTTTGAGTCAGTTCACAATTAAAGACAAATCTGTGAGAACTAAACATAGCCGTCCTTCAGAATTCTCACTTACTCAAATTTTGTAATCTGCACTAAAATGAAGGTGAATTTTCATGAGAATATTTCAATAGAACGCAAATTGCTGCAGAAACATAGAGAACTGAAATTTTCAGTGCCTGCTTTAAAGCAATCTTGTTCAGACAAGCCTACTCAGATGCTTAAAAAGTTGAGGTAATCTGTTTTAGTATCTTAACTTTTGTATGTTTTAAAGAATGGTTATGGATTTTTCTTGACTTTCTTGTTCTATCTTTTTTGTAAACTGCTTTGAGTATTTTTACAATCAAGCAGTGTAAAATTTTTATGTAATTAATTAATTAAGGTTGGGGGGGAATAAACTGAGAGCACTGAAATTGACTGAGTCTAGGATTCTATTGCTTTCAATGAGTTTTGGTGATTCACAACTTCCTCCTCCACTTTCCCACAGCTATACATGGACCCTTTTGTGTTGGACTAGGTGCCCTTCCAAACTGGTGTTTTATTGCAGGTGTATTATGAAACATGTTCTTGACATTTGTGATGGATTCATACTGCTTTATTAGTTGTCCAACAATGCTTCCTCAATGTAATACCACATTATCGCTATCCAGAGATACTACAGTGCAACAAAAGCAAGACAACAAACAAACCCAACAACATTTGTGGTATGAAAAGTTACTAGATTTCAGCAGGAGGTGACAGGATATGCACTGATTGGAAACAAAGCTGTATGTCTACCCTGAAACTTTTGCAGGTGCAAATAGTATTACAAGTGAGATTACGTATGACCACCTCATTGCATCCTGTGCCCAAATCATCAGGAATGCAAGATCAAAATGACTTTGATGGACCTTTTACTTATTTTTTGTGAACAACCTAAAATGTATTGCATAAAGAACTTACAACATTTCTTCTTGTTGTTCCAAGACTTGTCATGGCAAGAAATGGGAAATCTCCCTTTCTTAACCTCTTCCAGAAATGGGATGATAAATTTTAGAATACAGCGTTGACAGAGAAGTTGACACAAAAAATTAAAGCATTGCAAAAAGTTTCTGGATCTGATTAATTTCAAGACATATGGTATACTTTTATCTTCTATGTTTCTAGAGAGGAAAATGATTTTACATCTCTATCTACGCTTGTTCAACTGAGGTTGATAATTCTGGGATAATCTTGGGAGCAAAAACTAATGTTACTTAATGTATTCTGCAGGATTTTATTGATTGGTATTGTAATTGATGAAATGTTTCCTCTCCATTGTTTTTGTTACATACTTTTTATGCCTCCCTTTTAAACCAATAGATAGATGATATCTTGAAGGGTCCAATGATGGGATGACCTTGGTTCAGATCCCCAATCAGTTACAATTCACTGGGACTCCTCCAAGTTCAAGCCCCATTTCTCAGGCTAACCTACCTCACAGGGCTGTTGTGTGAATAAGGGACCAAACTATATATGCTACCTTGAGTTTCTTGGAAGGAGGACAGGTTGTTGTTTTTTTTTAGAAAGCCACTAAAATATTGAAATTAAGGTTTTAGATTTGAATGAGTAGCCTATTGCTTAACAGTGCCACATATGTGATTTCTCTCGTCTGATACTCCTGAAGAACTTCTAGACTACATTCTGGATTTTCCTGCATGGATTTTCAGACATTTGTGGGCTGGCACAACTTCCATTGAATGGATTGTTGTTCCATCTGGCATCCACTCTTGGAGGGGGGTTGTGGGGAGGGATAATTTTGCAAGGAAGTGTGGGCGATTGCTGAGATGTTACTTTCGAGAAACATGACTAATTGTATCCATCCTTCGTTCTGTGTGTCACGCAAGGACCAACTTATTTTCATTTGCTTGTATTGTTGTTTGTCATTAAGCAGGAAGTTCACATCTTTTCTGGGTTGCAACATTTACAACACACGCACATAGTTGCAGCATTCAGGGCTGTACAAGCCAAAAACAGGACCCACAACTTGAATATTAGAAAGAGAAATATCTTTTTATGTCTATTTTCTGAAGTTCATTGGTCTTTTAAAGAGGATTTAGTAATAATTTACAGAATTATTTATGTGTATCTTTTATATATTTGTAATTAATATTATCATTAATAATAATTGTAATTTGTTATACGATGCACAATTCTTTATTGGTTTTCTTGCTGTAGGCTAAAATAGTTATATTTCAAACAACAACAACAACAACAACAACAACTTCTCCTCAGCTGGTATTCAATAGTGTATTGCTGCTGAATGTGGAGAATTCATATGGCCATTGTGATCAATAGGCACTGATAGTTCCCTTCTTCTCCCTGAATATGTCTAACTCCCTTTTAAAGCTATCAGGACAATTACATATACTGTATATGGCAGCAAATTCCACAAGTTAACTATGCCTTGCGTAATGAAATACTTTAATCTGTCAGTTCTGGCTCTTCTGCCCATCAATTTCTTTGGATGACTCAGAGTTCAAGCCTGATGAGAAAGGGGCCATTTTTTCTTTATTTCAATTTTCTCACCTCACATAGGTTTATACACCTCTATGCCCCATCTTATTCATCTCTTTCCCACAAACAAACAAACAAAAGAAAACCCAAACACATAAGGAAAGTGATCTGATGCCCTGCTCACCCTGGTTGCCCCATTCTACACTTTTTCAACATCTTAAAAGTGCTGCTTATTTGAGAAATAAAAATGTTCCTCACTGTTAACAAAACACCACCTTATCTTTCAGGCAGGCCTAAGCTTGAAGGCTTGTTAAATCCAGATCCATATTTATTATCCTAATGAACTTGGGGAACAAAAAATACCACATCTCAAATTATATTAAATTGCCACTAACCTTCACTGGCAGTCTAGGTATTTTAAAAAGGAAATATTTAACATTCAATGCCCATAGTATAGCTTAATCTTGACAAGATAAAATGCAGAAAAACAAACTACCACCTGGGGTTGTCCAATGGCTTTAATATTATGCTGTATTTTTCTTGCATCAAATGCCAGCTGATTTTAAATCATTTGGATCTGATAACATGAACCCAGTTTATACAACAGAAAACTTTAAGTTACAAGCATAGTTATAGGTTAAGAGGAGTGCTATGTAAAGCAAGGTGAGAGGGCCTTTTTGGTTGTGGCTCCCCTAGCTATGAAATGCTGTCCCTAGGAAGGCCTGCCAGGAAGTGACTTTCACATATTTTCAGCTCCATGTTAAGGCCTTCCCCTTTTCCCAGGCATTGGGTGGATAGTGATGGGTTAACATGGCCATATTGATGTTTTCACTGCTGTTGTTGTTGATACAATTCATGAGATTGTGGTTTCGTTACCAGAGATTGGGAACCTGTGGCCCTCCAGATGTTGTTGGACTACCACACCAATCATTCCTAACCATCATGACCAATGGTGAGGGATGATGGGAGTTGTGGTTTAGAAAAAACTGGAGGGCCATAGATTCGCTTCCCTGTGTTAGGGATTGATTGATGATTATTAAATTTCTATACCACTTAATTTATTTAAAAATCTCCTAGCTGTCAACAAAAAACTGAAGCAACAACAGACAATATAAACAAAATATTACAAAAATGCACAGTTAAAAATAAAGATGTTACATTTATACAATGTTACTAAGCTATATAAATCAATATATGGCTATGTTTTTAACTCTGTATTTGTATTCTGTTTTTAAGTCACCTAGAAACAGAGCAAATGACTGAAATAAATAGTTAATCGTGTAAAATATAAAAGAAAGTATCTATTATTTTGAAAATAATCTTATGAATTCTTTTAAAGGGATTGTGCTTATCTATTTTTAGATTTAATCAGAATCGGATTCTAACATGTTGCTTAAATGATACCCACATAAACTTTGTCTGCCATAGTAGAGAACAAGTTTAAGTTCTGAGGGTAGAGAAGCTCTCTTTCTCTTTGGGAAGGTGTTTATTAGTGTAAGGTTCATAGTCTGATTTATCGATTTAGGCCTCCATACCACGATTGGCCACATCGTACAGCACGCCAGTGTTTCTGTCATGTGTTCCCCTCTGAAATGTTTACAATATTTTTGATTTACACCTTCCAGGTGTTCATTTGGAAAATATTGCTGCATTTGGTTTACACAGTTTTACAATATATTTGTGGACACCGTTTAACTTCCACATTCGTAACTGTTGACATTCCAAGGCCTCCTGGTCAAATGGAGGAGGGGGGGTGTCGTCTGCTGGCTTTTAAAAATGCAAGCTAATTGATTGGCTGTATTAGTCAAATCCCCAAACTACATATTTTAGATCGGAGGAAGTTATAAGGATTGCAGAAGAACTTGCTTAATGCTTTTGGTTAACATCTTTCATTAATAACAAAAACAGTCTTCTTCCTTTTCGACTCTCAGAAAGAGAATGAGATTTGCCTGCATCACCGTTTTAATTTCCTGTCCAGCAAACATTTACCATCCATGGCAGCAAGAAAAGTCTGGAACCCATGGCCCTCTAGACATTGTTGGACTACAATGCCCATCATCCCTGACCATTTGCCATGCTGCCTGGGGCTGATGGGAGCTGGAGTCCCACAAATATGGAAGGCCGAAGGATCCCCACCCTTGAGGTAAAAGGAGATAGGCTTATTCCTTCCATTTTGGAAAGGTTTAGATGCCATATCTCAAAGCATGTAAAAAAGTCCATAGAAATTTCTGGCTCTAAACCTCTTGCTCAACCAACAGGTGACCAGATGAGAAGCAATTTGCAAGCTTGTTCTAGTGTGTCTTTTTCACACGGTTGGATAGTCATTAAATTCCTTTGAGTCATCATACACCCCAATGGTCCCTATTCAGCAACAACAATTTTATTTTCTGGAACTTATCACTTAATAAATCCAAGTCTTCAGCACATCCAGAACATGGCATTCATGCTGCTGACAGCCGTTGCATTGTCTCAATTTGGACAATCATTCCATTTGCATACATTGTAACATGTCTATCCCACTTTCCCCCCAATGAGCTCAAGGTGGCATATGGGGTTCCCCATTTTATCCTAGCAATGACCATGTACCATTCATTAGGCTGAGATGCTCAAAGTCACTCTGTGAGCTCCATGGCTCAACCCAGGTCTTAGTTCAACTAAATCACACTATATGGACTCTCTTGCAGGATTCATAGTAACACAGGAAGTTGCCTTTCACTGGGTCAAGACCATTGGTCCATCCAGCTCAGGACTGTCTACATGGACTGGCAGCAGCTTGCCAGGCTTCCAACAGAGGACATTCCCAGCTCTACCTGGAGGTGCCAGGGATTGAACCTTCTGCATGCAAAGCACATACTCTGCCACTTTGCTACTGAGATCACTTTGCTGCCAAGTCCGGACTAGATGGGCAAATAACCTCAATCAGTATAAGGCAGTTTCCTGTGTATCAGAAAAGGGTCGTTGCTCTGATTTTTATCCTGATTGTAGACTCTGCTCAAGGAAGACCACAGCCACTCAGTTACAGTACTTCCCCAAAGAAAGACAGGTTTCTTCAACAATGGGGAATCAATATGAGTCCTGGTTTGAATAGCTGGGTTGTTGTGATGTAATGCGAGGGTATGTACAATCAATTGTTTTAGCAATTTGATATAAAAGCAAATGAAAAGCAACTTTTTCAAAGCATAATTACAAAGAGAGTCACTTATACATTCTATCTGAAGTCAGTTCAATTGGCTAATTGGCCAGTTGATTTGTGATTGTTGTATTTCTTTTGCACTTGGGTGATTTTGCTGAATATTATTGTCAATTTCTTAATGAAATGAAAGTCGCTTAGTTTATTAACTACTACAGCTACAGGCTTATTTTAATGTGTTGATCAATTTTGATTGTGATGAGTATATTAAGAAATAATGAAATAATAATTTCAAATGGTGTTGTTCAGATTGCTAGATTTGACATTACTTGATCTTCAGTTCCTTATACAGGTGTATAGCTGTTTAGCCAGTACTTTTTTTTCTGGGGGGATGCCTACCCCTAAACATTTTGTGAATCTAAGTTTGACCTCATTGAGGGGCAGTATTTTAATATGAGTAGGAAAATGAGAGTATCCCTAAACATTTTTTAAGAAAAAAAAGCACCGTGTATAGGTCCAGACCTTGGTAACCCCTAGGCTAGACTACTCTAATATGCTGTATGTGGGGCTACCCTTGTGGTTGGTTTGGAAATCTTAGGTAGTTGTAGAATATTACACCAGCACTGAAAGCTATGCACTGGCCACCACTACACTACCAAGCTAAACTGAAGGTATTACTCCTTGTGTATAAAGCCCTAAATGGTCTAGAACCAGGTTACCTGAAAGCATGCCTTGTTTCTTGTCCATCAGCCAAATCACTGTGATTATATGGAGAAGCCCTCCTGACGTTTCCACAGTTATCTCATATTCATTTAGTTTCTACAAGAACTAAGGCTTTTAGCATAGAGGCACCACTATTTCAAGACACTGGTCCAATTGAAATCAGACAGGCACCTACAACTCTGATATTTCATCACTTGCTGAAAACGTTTGTTTTGGCAAGCATTTTCCAATCATTGATTTGATTCACTGTTGGTTATTCATTCTGTGTTTTAGGATTGTATAATTTGATGGTGTTTCAGTGATCTTATTTACTTTTTTCCTTTTTTTTAACGAGTTGGTGGTTTATAAATACTCTTGTTAATAAATAAGTTAAAATCTGAATTTAAGGTAATGGTGGATGCCTCTTGCCTGTAAGGCACAAAGATGTCAAAATGCACACAGGAACCTTAAACAGTCATGTAGAAAACTGCTTGCCATTTCACACACTTTGGAAGCTCCTTGTGAACCATTCATAGCAGATTGTAAGACCATTCGTGTTTTTCTGGCATACTTTATAATAAAGGCCTTTCTTTATTTTATTTTTTAAGTGCTGCAGAAGCTATTGCAGGAGAGAAGACTACAGCAGATGGAAGAGTGTCATCAGTGATGTATAATATATAATGAGCAAAGCTCTAACCCTAACCCTTAGAATGAGAATAGCATAATTGCTGTATTACAAGCACATTCTGATTTTTATCTGCAAATTCTGGAGAGTATATGTTTGTATTATTTTTCTCCCTCCTGTCCAGATAGATGAATGACTTTGCAGCTGAAGGCCTGACATTAAAGCTTATTTGCATTTAATATGAAAGCTTTTTTATTTTTTAAAAAATGCAAATACCATCAGAAAAGTGATGGGGACTGGCAGGGCTGGTTGTTATCAAGATAATTATAAGAAACCAAGAGGAAACTAATGATGCAGCAATAAAACTGCTAGCAAATTTACAAAGCTAAGCAAGGTCTGGTTTGGTTTCAAATTGGATGGGGTCCCACATGTTGAGATCAGGAGTTAACTAGATGACCCTCAGAATCCCTTCCAGTTCTATGAGTCTAAGATTCTGTATCTGAAATTGACCATTTGTCCAGCCCTACTAGCCTGCATAAAGAACACAAGCTGTATGTGAAAAATACCCTCTGATCACTCCTGTCATGCTCTGCCACTAGCTTAGATGCCCTTCAGCAGAAAGAACTAGACACAATCTCAGAGAACAAGCCTATTTGACATAACAGCAAATGTGTTCAAAGGCAGCCAGAGGTGTAGCAAGGTACTTAAAAGGTTCGTGGCATAGGCCCATAGACACAAATGTCCTTAACATTTACAAGTGGGTGGGTGCACCCCATTTTAGAATGTAAGGTTTGTACCCAATGTTAGTCCTACTCAGAGTACAGCCATTGAAATGAATAGAATCACAGAGTTGGAAGGGACCTTGAGGGACCATCTAGTCCAACTCCATGAATAAACATAACTAAAGTCCATTCATTTCAGTGGGTTTACTCTGAGTAAAACGTAATTGGACACCACCCTAAGTGTCATAGAAAACAAATCTTTTTTTAACATTGTGTTTTAATTGTTGTAACCCACCCTGGACCCTTAGGCTGAAGGTCTGGTAATAAATTGTTATTGTTGTTAACTAATGTCCCATTCAAATCACTCTTCAGATCAACTCTTCATTTGATTCATGCTTCACCCAGGATTATTCCAAATACATCCCATTTATATAAATATTTATTTATTTATTTATACCCCGCCCATCTGGCTGGGTTTCCCCAGCCACTCTGGGCAGATTCCAACAAAGTATTAAAATACATTTTAATTCATTTAGTCCTTAGTATATTCTGCTCCAAATCAATTCCCCTGCAGTTACCCTCCAAATAATCTCTACAGAAAGTCATTTTCAATCTCCTTCCCAGTAATCCAAATCAACATCTGGGTTAAGTTTCTTCTGAATTCAGGAAAGTCTGGGGCACTCAGAAAAAGATGAAGGGCTCATGTCTCCTAGACCCACCCCAATAATAGCCCCCAAAGGTAGGATGCTTCTGAATAACTGATGCCAGGGGCAAACTGGAGGTTGTACTGCCTTTTGAACTTCCCACTGGTGCCTGGGTATCTGCCCCTGGATGCAGGAATTTTGGTCTAACCCAGAAGGGCCCTTATGTCCTTCCAAACTCACCTAACTGAAATAAAATTAGACGGTAAATATTATATTGGAATCTATATGGAACACATCTGTGTATTTACAGGCATGCTCAACCTGATCCAGAATGAGCTCCTGGTCAAGAGTGGGGTCTTACTTTAGTTTTTTTGAAGAGAATTTCCCTCTACTTGGCCTATTTTTGTACTTGCAGGGAGGCAGCCAGGAAAGAGAGGAATTTTCTGAAGAAAACCAGCATAGTCCTCCAATCCAGAGCCGGAACACATTCCAGACTGGGGAGACCTCGCAGCTATTTTTTCTCCAAAAATAAAATGCTTTGATGTTACACGTGTGAATAATGTCACAGGCAGTTTGGTCCTGCAAAAATGTGTTTAGGGTTAACAAGTACGTTGCTTTATCTGCATGTCCCAGAATGCTAAAGCTGCTTCGCCTCTTGTACTGTTTGAACACTTTTATGCAGTCATATTTAATCATCCTAGCAAGAACATTTAAATTGCTTTTTACAGCCTGGTTTAACATCTAAACAATAGGTCATACTTTGTGGTCCAGCATTTTCAGTATCACACTCGACAAATAATAGCAATAGATCGGCAAACAAATGTTTTGCCAGAGTGGGGATTATTAATTTGTCTGGGGTAAATATGGAATTTTCTTTTTATTAGAGAGGCAGACGCCGTAAGTAAATAAATAAATAAATTCAACAAACTTATATATTAAGGGGGAAACGTGTTAAGATTGGCTGTCAAGTTTTGGGGTGCCAAGTTTTAAATCAAAGCACCTTACCAAACACCAGGTTAGAAGGGTATATCTTTATTCTTAGCTAGACTTGCAAATTTGTAAGTCCCTTCTTCGGGTTTGTTTCATATGCAGTTTTCCTTGAGCAGCTCCATGACCATGTTGGATAAAAGCTCGCATGATCTCTGCCTAAAACTAAAACAATTGACATCGCTACACATCAAAGGCAATGTCAAGGCAGACTATGTATATATATGTGTGTGTGCACATGGACACATTTATTGACCGCTAATTATCTTATCAATTTACAGTGAGCATGTGCTGCACTTAATTTATGAAAACTTGGAGGGAAGATTGTGATTTCTTTAGGAAAGAAATTCGAATCAATTCACATTTAAAGGATAAGCAACCTATTTTGCACTTTCTGAAGCAATGCACAAGCCAAAACACAGCTATCCTTCAACAGTCTCACATCTCTGAATTTTGCAATGCAGTTCTCCACCCAAGTAATACATACAAAAATGCACCTAATGGGGCAAAGTGTGCATTTAAAGTCATATATTTATGAAATGAACATACAAAAATGCCTTATATTAGGCAAAAATGCTTTGCAAAATTGTGTGCATTAGGTAAAATTGCATAGAAAAATGTGTCTATAAGGAGAAATCAGTGCTAAAATGGTAGTGAATTTTCATGAGGACTTAAAAAAGAAAAGAATTTGAAAACTGGTGTGGAAATGTGGACAACTGAATTTAAGAATGGAAAAATGAAAAACATATAAGCAACATTGAGATATTTGTCTATCCCTACATTTCCTGCATGCACTGTCTAGTTCACGTACATCAACAAAACATGCAAGTTTGCTTAAGATAAGCCATATTATCTGAATAGTTTCGTGAGTGGGGTTTATTTTTTTCCTGCGTTTAAAGAAACAAAACAAAAAACAAAAACAGAAAATCTGAATTCTGAGTTTAATACTTCAGTTTCAAGCTGATCTTGGCTCCCTCCAATCAGTTCCAAAATGAAATGGTGGGTTATCCAATATTTTGGATCTTGGACTCTTATTGAAAGAACATGTAACTTGAACTGAAAGCTAATAATGTAGCAAAGAGGAGTGGGGGGAATCTTTGCCAGTTGCCAATGCCTGTTAAATGGGCAGATTAGCTGTCTTGCTTTTTAACATATAAACATCTGAAACCCGTTTCCTGTTTGGGGAGGGTGAAACTAGGTGGATGACCTCAGGCAAACTTTTTTTTTAAAGGGGAAAAAAACATAAATGAGAATGGTACATAGTACAGGCGAAAAGGCCACTCTTGGTGGTCTTGTTACATGTTATAGAGAGAGGCAGGGTGGGGTGGGGTGTGCGGGGGGGAGAGAGAGAGAGAGAGACAGCGCACAGGAGGAAGGGGGAAAATACAAAAATAAACTTTTACCTTCTCACTTTCAGAGTAGGCACTGCCATTCCTACACTGGGGTCTTCTGCTCTGCAGAGTGTCAAAGGCTGTCATTGCCAGCACAGTTCCAACAGTTAAGTATACACTTCAACAGAATCCAAGACGAAACATTCGCTCAAATCTCCAATGGCTGGTCCCTGTCCTCGCTGCGTGCTACAAGTTCCTACCCTGGCTGTCAAAACCGAACGCAGAAGACAATCCAGTGATTGTCTACCCTAAATGCCAGTCCAGAACCTTGGCAACAAGGGAAACCACTGGCAAATTGGCTCTCGACTCTTTCCCATTTGAGGAAGGAAGGAAGGAGGGAAGAATGAACGAAAGAATGAAAGGTGTGGTGCGACAAGGGAAAGAGAGAGGACAAAAGGCAGAAATTGTAATCATCATCACAACAGCTGTAAGATGTTGCTGATTGTGGCCTTTCTAGATGAGACATAGATGTTCTGGGCTAGGAATGGGGGGTGGATTTGGTTCAGTTCGCATTTAAAGGCAAATGTAGCAAATTCGCACTTTCTAAAACAATACACGAATCGAAACGCAGCTACCCTTCAAAATTCACACTTTTCAAAAAATTTCAGTGCAGTTCTCCGGCCCAGCAATGTGTACAAAAAGGCATATACAGGAGGATAAAATATGCCTATAAACACATATAACATCATGCATTATGTACGGGAAAATGGCTTGCAAAAGTGTGCATATTTGTCAAAAAAATCATATAAAAATGTGTTTATTAGGATAAATTTGCCCCCAAATGCTATGAATTTATAGAAGAATATTTCCAAACACAAAATGCTTCAGAATTGTTTAGAACTGAATTTAAGCCTGGAAAATTGACAAAATTGAGAGGACCAAAAGTTGATAGATTCATGCCCCTTTTAATTCTGCCCTTGTGCATTAGAAAAAGACTTGGGTGACCCTTTGCTGCTGGACTTCCACTGACCCATTTTCAAATGTATCTGTGACCCATTGGTCTTCAGCTTGGCAGACAAGACAAGCTATCTTAATCAGGTAGAACAAACTCCTCACTTGCAGGGCTGTCCATTGGGGAGGAAGGAAAACGATGTGAAGATTCTTTTAGTGTGTGTCTTTCGTTTCCTTCCATTAAAACAAATGATACACCTATGCACCTGAAAGAGCTCTATAAGCACATCAGAGCACATATGGAGCTCTGGAATGACACTGTTTTTATTTCAGGGTAAACTTCACCCCCCCAAAAAAAAATCTAACTAGTCTTTATATGTAGGTTTTATTTATTTTATTTTATTTTTAACACTGGGTTTTGGGAAAGGCCACCTAGTTGTGGTAAAGAGCCAATCTTATTCCAATGTGATGGATCATTTTCTTTGTACAGATTTCCATTTGTGACCCTAAGTAAATCAATTCATCTTCTGTGCATTCTTGAGAAAGAATCCCTCGATTATCAGTACTTGCCATTAGTTAAGATGGCTTTAGAAAATGCCAGCTGCTATATCATCTCCTTAGTTCATAGCGGGGGGGGGGGGGAGCCACAGGCTAGGATAATTAGTAAAATTAAGTGACTTGGTATTTGGAATTTGTTTGCCTTGCAGCATGAGCTTCCCCACCCACCCTAGATTTTCTCCATCTTATCATCGAGCTTTTGACATGACAGGTTAATGCGAAAACCCCCAAGTTGGGCTTCTGCAGCTAATCGTCTCGTGGTCCCTCTGTCTGGCTTCTCCTCCCGTGAAATCTGAGCTCCTTGGGGAACAGAAAAAAAGCAACAGTTCCAACTGCCCCAAAACATTTACTCAAGGGGGATTGCAAGTTTCCCTTCTCAAGTTCATTTTGACTTTAGTGTTGGAAGATTCTGAAAGGCTATGACGGATATGGAAATATGTGAAGCCTTTTAGCAAATGATACACTGAGCTTCTTTAGGCACAGCCTTCACTACCCAAGAGGGTGTCCTCTGCGTGAAACAGACAATCAAAGCAAGTCACTCTGTGACTAGAAAAACTGTTTTCCGCAACATCCACAAATTATGCAAATCAAGCACATTTTGCAGTTTCTTTTATTTCGCAAAAGCTTGCAATTTATTTATTTATTTTTACCATTTCTCATCCTTGACTTTGATTCTCCTAGGTGTGGGGGATGCAAAGAGCCAGGCAGTGTGAGTGCAAGAGCAAAGGGTAGCAATTTACAGAGGCTAAAGTACCACAGGCCAAAACTCAAGTGCCAAATACACTTGGAGAGACACTATATATAAAAGTTTACAGGTGCCCTCTTTGGAGGCAGGAATGCTTGTGGGAGCCAGTTGCTGGAAACTGCTGGAGGGAAAAGTGCTGTGGTGCTCAGGTCCTGCTTGCAGGTTTTCCGCAGACATCTGGTTGGCCACTGAGAGAACAGGATGCTGGACTAGGTGGGCCATTGGGACCGGGGAAGACCTCTGTGGACCGATGTGGCAACCCAAAGAATGCATCTTAGCTGGGATCGGTAGTTTGCACAAGCCGTTGCCCAGGGTTGTTGAAGAATAAGTCATTTACCTTTCTTGTTAAACTATCTGGCTGTGTCAGCTAGACATGAGAGTTGATAACAAAACATAACCTTCAGTCAAAACAAAATGAAAAGAAGCTTCAAAACAATTCCCAAATCAGACACCACCTTGGTGATCAACCATATTTGAATGCATAGAAATATTTCCTGATTCCAGCTGCAGCTGAAGCAACAAATGGACTACCGCCATCCTGAAATCTTAGCCTAGGACAGGGTGACAGAAAACCTCATCTGAGGAAACTATGTGAAACCAGGACGCATTGTACTTTGGTATTGAGCCATTTAGCAATAGGACTGTGACCCTGCACTTAAGTATAAAAATGGCTCCAGGGTGATGTCAGCTTTTCCAGAATCGGGTTGTGGCTCATGATCTGCAATCTGAGAGGTGCAACTCAGAATCCCTTGCAGAATGGGAATCTGCATTGATCAGAAGTTAGCTTGGCGCTGCGATAGAAAATGGTGCAACATGTGTTGGGGGCAGATTTTGCACAGCTTTGAGTGATGTACCACAAGACCAGCCTTAGACAAGTTAGTGTCCTCCAGACATTCTGAACTGCAACTTCCATTAGCCACAGAGCAGCTGGCCCCAGCCAGCATGACCAATAGTCGGGGATAATGGACGTTGTAATCCAAAACATCTGGAGAGTACTAGGTCAGCACAAGGTCCCCAGAGACACCTGTTGGAACAGTTAGTGCAAGGTTGACTAACCTTTGGCCCACCAGATGTTGCTGGACTCCATCTCCCATCATCCCTCAGCACTGGCCATACTGCCTGGGGCTGATGGGAGTTGGAGTCCAGCAATATTTGGAAGGTCCCTAGTTAACAACCCCTAGTTAACAAGCATGTGGCTAGTCTCATTGCCTACGTAGTTCAAGCCACACACATAATGATTACAGCTAAAGAAAGCAAAGAACCAAACTGGAAAATAATTATTTCCCCGATATTCTAGTTTATAATTTGCTGCATTAAAGCAGTTTCTGCCATCACCACTTTTCCACCCATCAAAGTCAGAAACTAGGCGGCCATCCCGTTTTCACAGCCATTTCCGTGTATTCCATATGTAATCCCAATGTTATTTCCGTTTCTTAAATTCAGAATAGGAATTAAGCTAAAGCGGATAAACCCCATACCCGCCCACTGGCTTTGTACTTGGCATTTTCCTGCAGAACTTTGTTTATCTGCAAAATAAATTAAAAGGTGCTAATTTTAGCTTACGAAAAATGGATGTCTGCTTGTGTCAGACGGAGTTTGAGAAAGATAGCTGGGGCAAAAACTATGTCATCTAAATATGGCATCCCATGAGATCAAAGAAAGAACTGTATACATCTGCCAAGGCTGATTGAAACGTTATTGGTGCTCGCTTCCGTTCCGCTAAGTATGTGTTCCATTGATATGAGTAATTTGCCAACGCCGTGAAAAGTGCCGTCTGTCTGTGCCAGTTGATTTCTATGGTATCTGAAGCCTTTTTTCAAAATAAGGATCCAAAATAGATGTCCTCTTGTCTCCCCTGCATTTCAGCTCTTGCCAACAGAAAATGGCAAGGGTTCAAAAAACAGTTTTTAAAGAAATGTGCGCTGGAAATTGCGTAGAGGTCGATAACCATCTTGCCTTCCCATGACTAAGCACTGACATTTAAATGTTTAAAACCAAGTCAAAAATGATGCATTGCAGCCCCACCTGAAATTGTTTTTCATTGTCTTTACTTCCACTTTCTGGTCCTCTAAAAGGAGAAGCAAACATCTTGGGCGTGCTGACGCAATCATTTCACATTATGTGATGGAAGTGGGAGTCTGTAGCATCCAAAAGGACACTAGCAAAACAGGAACAGCTCTGGCTGCCCGTTCAACCCTTCTGCCAAATGGTAGGCCTCAGTCTTAGCATCTTCATGTTTGTGAATGGCAGCAGCATTGCTAGGTCCTTGAATGGCTCCAGGGACAGGCTGATGACACAAATTTGCATTAAATTTACATATGCTAACTTATATGTGTCAGTACAAATTTAGGCCAACACAATTTGTGTTTTAATTTGCTGGAAGCCGCCCAGAGTGGCTAGGGGAACCCAGTCAGATGGGCGGCAAATAAATAAAATAATAATAATAATAATAATAATAATAATAATAAAAGTGAGGAAAGTGAAAAAGCTAAGGTTGTGCATTACTCTTCTGATCAGATTCAGGCCCCACTGTGGTACTTGAGAGTGGATCCCATCTGACCCAGGACAGTCTGGGAACAAGAAGACTTGGATCCAAGCCCCAAACTGGATTGAGATGATGTATGCAGTTTAATTAGGCTTTAATTAAGCATGTAGTAGGGATAGGGGAGGAGACTATGTGCATCTCCTTCTACACCCCACCCAATCGCCCCCTCCTCCTCCTCCTCCTCCCCTTTGACTGCCTGAGATCGCTCCAATCTGACCTGGGGCAATCCAGGGCTGCCTCAGCCTGATTCAGTCCGGGATCTGGGATTTGGCTGTATCTGATACACAGTCCTAGTGTGGACCTAGGATACTTTCTTACATATGAACCTTCCTGATCCCCGAGATGGGAACATGGGAAGCTGCCTTATATTGAGTCAGACCATTGGTCCCTCTAGCTCAGTACTTGTTTGTATGGACAGGCAGCAGCTGTACAGGATTTCAGAATGAAATGAATTCCCAGCCTTATCTGGAGATACCAAGTCCTGAACCTGGGATGTTCTGCAGGCAAAGCAGGTGCTCTG